GACATCGCAGGTCGAGAGACCCGGGGGTGAAGGTTGAGCTGATGCGCCACGTACCTCACCGCAAACGGCCACAGAAAATGGGGGGCAGCCGCATGCATCATGGACGTACGAGCGACATCCATGACCATGCCAATGCGGCGCTCAGCAATCCCATTTTGCTGTGGTGAGTCCGGAAGCGTGAAGGTCTGGCGGATCCCCCGTGCATGACAGTAGTCCCGCAGAAGGCGAGAAGAGAACTCTCCGCCTCTGTCCGAGTGCAGACGCAGAACAGGAAAGTCCGAGCCGAAGCTCTTCCTGAGCTGGAGACGAGCCTCGCGGATCCAGTCGATCAGCACCTCAGTGACCGCACCCTTGCTGCGCAAGGGGAGGACTGTGGTGTAACGCGAGTAGTCGTCAACCACCAACAGGAAGTAGCGCTCGTAACCCTGCCCACGGACGGGGGCTGGGTCCCACACATCCATGTGAAGCGTCTGCAGGGGAGCCTCTGTCGGGGGGAAGTGGGAGGAGTGAGGAGTAGCCCGGAGGCGACCCTCGACACAGGGGACACAGGAAGGTCCTGGCCCGGAGGGGAGAGGAGGGAGAGACTGGGGAAGACCAGAGACAAGGACACGGGAAGCCATGCTCCGAAGACGGGGCAAGGAGGGGTGGCCAAGACGGTGGTGCCACAGGAGAGTCTCGTGAGACAGGAGGCGACAAGAACAGGGGGCAGACTCAGGACCTGACCGGGACGCAGCAGCAAGCACCTGACCCGACGCAGCCACCTGACCAGACGCAGGGACAGGAGGAGACTCAACGGTCAGGGTGTAGAGACTCGACCCCGGCCGACGCGAGAACGTGGCCAGGTGTCGGCCTGTGCGTGCCTCCGTGCAGTGGGTCACCCGCTGACTCGCAGGAGTGAACTGGTGAACCCCCACATCCTGCAGGTCCGCTCCACTCACCAAGTTCGTAGAGAACGAGGGAAGGTACAGACCAGACAGGGTGCCTGAAGGGGCAGCCGGACACGGGAGGACAGTGGAGAAGTGAGACAGGACAGGACCCCCAGAGGGGTCAGCAAGGGAGACCGCAACCGGCCGGCCGAGCGGCGTAAGGGTAGTGCGGTCTCGAAAGAAGGAGCGAGAAGCCCCGGAGTCAAGTGTGAAAGTGAGGGAGGACGAGGACGACGCACTACCTGAGAGCGCAGTCTCACCAGTACCTGAGAGCACAGATGCACTGGCACCTAGAGCAGCAGCCTCACAAGCACCTAGCGCAGCAGTACCAATGCCCGGGTCGGGCTGGAAACACCGGTAACCCTCATTCTCCTCACTATAATCCACAGCATACATAGCAGTAAGGATAGCATCAAAATCAAGATCAAAGATCGCTACACCAGCCCTTAGAAGCTCATCCCAGCGAGGGATCTCACTAGCCCCAGGGAACTGCTGACGCCGAGCGTCCGTCAGGCGGCCAAAGCAGCGCTGGGTGGCGTGGGCACCCCCACACTGCTCACCCGCGCGGTCGCCGGAACGAAGAACGTAGGTGCAGGGACCAGTACCCCCACCCCTCTGACGCCCAGCGTACCACTCACGAAGCTGCTGAGGCGGAGGGATGTCCCGCGAGCGCTGCTGCTGCTGCCGCTGCGAGCGCTGGCCACCACCACCGCCGCTACGCTGCTGGGTACCACCTCGACCAGCTCCACCTCCTCCACCACCACCGCCTCCTCCGCTGCCGCCTCCACCGCCTCCACCACCGCCGCCTCCACCTCCGCCGCTGCCTCCACCACCACCGCTGGCACCACCACCACCGTCTCCGCCACTGCTGCCACCACCACCACCACCCCCGCCACTAGTCCCGCCGCCACCCCCACTCCCTCCGCCGCCACCGCCGCCACCGCCACCGCCCCCTCCAGCTCCGCCCGCGCCCTTGCCCCCCTTGCCCTTGCTGGAGCGACGTCTCCCACTAGGGGTAGACGCCGCGCCGACCGACTCAAGACCAAGCAGGTCGGCAGCAGCAGCAGAGGCAACAGAGGGCAGCAAGGGGGAAGGAGAGCACCCCTCAAAGATGGGGGTGCGAGGGTCACCACGAGAAGCACCTACAGCGACTATGCTCTTCTCCGCTGCGAGGAGGGCCTTCTCGAGGAGGTCGACGGTGAGGGTGGTGGGACAGACTGCGAGAAAGTGGTCCCTGACGACGCGAAGGGAGTCAGGGAGGCGCGCGACTACGTAGTAGAGAGCGATGTACATGGGGGGTGGGTTCTTAGCGCAGAACTCAGCAGGAAGGGCGGCGCGGTAGCGAGTGTCACTAGTGCGGAGGTGCGTAATGAGGTCAGCAACAGTGGGAAAGGCAGAGAGGTCAGGAAAGAGGTAGGGAAGCATGAGACGGCTCAGTGCAGCAGTGGCAGGGGAGGAGTAGCGCGCAACTACAGCGTCGTACAAGGTCTGAGCACTCTTGTACTGACTAAAGTGCGCACGCTCAGAGGTAGGGAGGTGGCGACGCACAGCAAGACGTGCAGCAGCATCGCGGGTGGCCCACTGAGAGCGGACAGTGGGATCAGCATCAGCAGCAGGAGCAGGAGAGGCGCCAGAGGTGAGGTCAAAGAGAGAAAGGTCGTCAGCCCTGTCGCACTGTAAGAACAGCTGCAGGTCGTCTAACCAGACCTCAAAATCAATGGCGCGACCCTCAGCGTCAAAAGCTAGGACACTAGGGGTAGCCATGGCGACGACAGCGACGCAGTGCAAGCAGTAGGGAAAGAGCTCGCAGTGTCAGTGGGACTGTGCTCACCAGGCAGGGCAGGTCGTGCAGCTCTGCAGAAAGGCGGCTCAGCGACCGGGCGGCTCGGGTGCACAGCGGCTCGGCTCCCGGGCGGCTCGGCGGCTGGGCGGCTCGGGCGCAGGGCGGCTCGGCTCCCGGGCGGCTCGGCGGCAGGGCGGCTCGGGTGCAGGGCGGCTCGGCTGCAGGGCGGCTCGGGTGCTGGGGCGGCTCGGCCGGGAGATGCAGGGGCGGGGCCGTCAGGTGCAGCGGCGGGTCGACCGGTGCAGCGGCGGGCCGGCAGGTGCAGCGGAGGGGCCGTAGGGTGCAGCGGCGGGCCGACCAGGTGGGGCGGCGGGCCGTAGGGTGCAGCGGCGGGCCGTAGGGTGCAGCGGCGGGCCGGCAGGTGCAGCGGCGGGGCCGTCAGGTGAAGCGGCGGGCCGCTGGGTGCAGCGGCGGGCCGGCAGGTGCAGCGGCGGGCCGGCAGGTGCAGCGGCGGGGCCGTCAGGTGAGGCGGCGGGCCGTAGGGTGCAGCGGCCGGCCGTAGGGTGCAGCGGCGGAGCCGGCGGTGGGGCCGCGTCAGTGGAGGCGGCGGGGCCGCGTCAAGCAGGCGGCGGGGCCGCGACGAAGCGGGCGGCAGGGCCGTGTCAGAGCCGGCGGCGGGGCCGCGTCAGTGGAGGCGGCGGGGCCGCGTCAAGCAGGCGGCGGGGCCTCGACGAAGCGGGCGGCAGGGCCGCGTCAGAGCCGGCGGCGGGGCCGCGCCAAGCAGGCGGCGGGGCCGCGATCAGGAGGGGTGGCGGGGCCGCGTCTGAGGGACAGCGGGGCCGCGAGGGAAATGGCGACCCGAGGGGTCGCTAAAAAAAAGAAAAAAAAGAAAAAAAAAGGGCGCGCCTCGGGGCGCGCTTCGGTGGGCCCTAAAAAAAACGGTCCTAAGGAAGGACCCGCTCTATACCATGTGAAACAAGTGAACAGGAATGAGAATGACTAAGTCAGAGTTGGGTACAAATACAACCCTAGAAAGCTGTACCCCGTATGTGCTACCCCACTATAGCCTACAAACATGCATCAGCTATAATACTCTGACACCAGCCCCTTGGGGTTGAGTTGAGGGCGTCTACAAACCATTGGAGGCGCCGGTGCGGTCATGCTCCAAGGTTTGTGATTCAGGCAGATGACTATCCCTACCAGCCAGGGTTCTCGTTATCAGACCAATTTGGTCTGATGGTCTGAGTTTAAGACTTGATTTTTAGTATTCATCTTAATCCTAAGATTTTGTGTTTGTTCTCATCTGATCAGTAAGATTTGACTTTTAGGTTCGTATGATTTTTCCAGATGTGTAGAATTCTTCATCTGAGAACACAGATATCGAGTTCGGTTTCGTCTGAAACCGACATCTTGACCCACTAGGCCATATGCCCAGTGGACCAGAGGATAGGACCACAGGTACAGCCATTTGTTGCCCTGAATGCGCACGCACATTCATTACGCGTGTCATGTAATGAATGCGCGTAATGAATGCGCGTAATGAATGCGCGCATTCATTATGGCAGCCTCGCTGCCAGGAGTTTGTCGTGTGGCTGGCTGTCGGCGCCGACGCCAGCCACAGCCACGGCAACGCGTTGTCCCGTTGTGCCACAGCCACAGTAGGTTGACTTTTAACAAGAAAAAAAAATTCGTCTTATTTATCAGACTAGAAATATTATTTCAGCTTATAAGGCAGACCACGGAAGTTTCGTCGTCCGACCATAAGACGGGGGAAAATTTTTTCAGGGTACTGTCAGACAGCCCCAAAACCTAGCGAGAGCCCTGCTACCAGCTCAGCAACAGCACTGAGTGAATTACGGTGGCACGCAGTTGGACACTGCGAATCCGCGGGGCCTCGGGAATGACGATCTACGGTAGGGAGGTGACTGTGACACGGGACATTGCGGTTGTTATTAGAAGCAATTGCCAGGTAAAAACATACAATGTCACATTACGAAGTCAGAAGGCACAAATGATACTACCAGTAGTATTAGCCTCAATTCAGCAACTCAGTGTCAAAGACAGAATGCTGTGCAGTCTTAGAAATACGAGCAAACATGCGTATGTGTTGGGATGAAGACTGGAGGCATCCCATGGGGAAGAACGGCTATATGTGAAGTCCAAGTGCTCATGGACACCATTCTTATGGTCAATCATTAACCCATCCCCGTTAGTGTCGAATCTGCTCTTCCTTGAGATTAGTCGAGTCGAGCAGCGCAGACCCAAGCTGAGCCCATGACCAGCTGTGGCATTCAGGGCATGCCGTCGCCTCCTGATGTAACGGTCATGTCAGGCCATGGCGGAAGTATGGGGCTGCAGAGAGCCGGTGGAGCACCACCAGTGGGGAAGGGCTGGTGCAGCATGGCCAGGCGGGGTTGTATGGGAGAGTGCATGCGCGACCCTCTTGCGGGTGAGTGCGCATTCAATGGAGCGCGTTGATGTTGACAAGGCACAGACAGCCAAGGCGCTTGTGTCGGTAACTGTAAGAGTGGCTTTGGGAGTAGATGTGGTGGTGGCTGTGAATGCAGCTGTGGCTGGTGCGGAGGCAGGGAGAGCATGCGGTCAAGCTTGAGGTACTGACAAGGCTTCCCCTGTGCAAGCATGCCCTCCTGGCCGAGAAATTGCTGCTGCCTGTGCCCCTCAGCACCTCCTTCCCCGGTCCCTCCCTGCTCCACCGCCCACTCTGGCAGGGCTGTTCCAGCAGCACGTGGGGCAACACGTGGGGCAGCAGGCCCCTCAGCGTGAGGTCCACTGGCCAAGGGCATGGCGAGGAGACTCCCAGCCAGCAGCACGTGAGCCATGGGCGTGTCTAGAAAGGGCGCACCGTTGTCCTTGCCACTGTGCTTGCCACAGTTGTCAGTGTTGTTAGTGTTGGTTATGCTGCCGAGCACATCAATGCAAGCATCCAGGTATTCTTGCTCCTGTGTGCCACACGCACTCCCAACAAGCATTGCTGTAAGGCACCCGGTCGCGCTGCCAGAAGCGGGGCCAGGCAGACCAGTGAGCGGTGAGGGCATCAGTGCTGCGAGCGGCTGGGCGAGCACAGGAGCAGAGAGAGCAGCACGTTGCATGGAGGCAGGTGTTGTAATTTCATATTTTATACAACATACATAGGCTAGAAGTGTAGCACATTTTATCAATTGGGGGGTTGCTTAGTGTACCCTCCAACCACATTTTGTGGTTGGTTGGGATTGGTCCTTAGCTCAACCAATCCCAACCAACACACATTTGTGGTTGCTTGGGTCACAAGCAAGCTCACCCATTGGCCAACTTATTGGCCAATAGAGTAAGCTTCCCTCTCATCTCTCTCTTGCTCATTGTTTGTACTAAAGAGCCTCTTGGCTCATTATTCAATGCATCAATTCTCTCACTTGCAACATGGTATCATGAGCTAATGGCTCACGCCTTCCTCCCTCGGTCCTTAGGCCACCCTCTCCTCCCCGTTCCTCAGATCTAGCCCCACCCACGGAGCTGCCCTCCCTTCACGCGCCCTTTAGGCGCTGTCCTCCCTCCCCGTGCGCCCCCTAAGGCGCTGCCCTCCAAGGCACGCCCAGATCTGCAACTCCAGCGCCCAGATCTGCACCTCCAGCGCCCAGATCTGCACCTCCAGCGCCCAGATCTGCACCTCCAACGCCCAGATCTGCAACTCCAGCGCCCAGATCTGCACCTCCAGCGCCCAGATCTGCACCTCCAGCGCCCAGATCTGCAACTCCAGCGCCCAGATCTGCACCTCCAGCGCCCAGATCTGCACCTCCAGCGACCAGATCTACTCCTCCCGCGCCTAGATCTGATCATTCCGCGCCCAGATCTGGATTCCGCGCCACCAGATCTCCTCCTCCAGCGCCCAGATCTGCACCTCCAGCGCCCAGATCTGCACCTCCAACGCCCAGATCTGCACCTCCAGCGCCCAGATCTGCAACTCCAGCGCCCATATCTGCACCTCCAGCGCCCAGATCTGCACCTCCAGCGACCAGATCTACTCCTCCCGCGCCTAGATCTGATCATTCCGCGCCCAGATCTGGATTCCGCGCCACCAGATCTCCTCCTCCCGCACCCAGATCTGCACTCCGCCCGCCCAGATCCGCCCTCCACGCGCCCAGATCTGCCCTCCGCGCGCCCAGATCAGCCCTCCGCGCGCCCAGATCTGGCCTCCGCGCGCCCAGATCTGCCCTCCGCGCGCCCAGATCTGCCCTCCGCGCGCCCAGATCTGCCCCTCCCCCATAGCATCGCCCTCCTTCTCCTCCACCCAACCCACCCTCCGCTCCTCCCTTCCTCCTCCCATCCTACCAGCAGCAGCACCAGCAGCGGCACCACCAGCAGCACCCTTCCCCCTTGCCTCCCCCATAGCATCGCCCTCCTCATCCACCGTCCTCCTCCTCCCATCCTACCTGCAGCAGCACCAGCAGCAGCACCTGCAGCGGCACCACCAGCAGCACCCTTCCCCCTTGCATCCCCCATAGCATCGCCCTCCTCCTCCTCCACCTTCCTCACCCTCCGCTCCTCCCTTCCTCCTCCTCCCATCCTACCCGCAGCAGCATCCGCAGCGGCACCAGCTGCAGAACCAGCAGCGGCACGGGCAGCAGGGCCAGCAGCAGCACTGGCAACGGTACCCTCACACCATCCTCCTCCTGCCCTAGCCTCGACCCACCCTCATCTCTATGGCATTGTCGTCCGATTCTTCCGTCGACCTTGCCACTGTTGATGCACTCGAGTTGCTGCCTGACAACTCCGCTGCTAATTGGCACTCTTATGCTCATTCCGTCGAGGTGCTCCTCTCCTCTGTTGTGGTCAGCGGCTACAACCTTCGCTCGGTTGTCTTTCAGGAAGGCGGTGGACTTCAGCCCGCGGCCCCCACCGCTCCTACTGGACCTGCCCCTGCCCACCCTGGCGCCGAGCCCTCTCCCCCCGGTGATCCTCCCGCCTTTGCGCCGAATGTGAACGACCCGCAGAGCTCGGAAACCGCCATTCGCACCTACCGCACCAATCTCCAAGAGCACCTGCGCCTGCAACTGCGTTACGAGGATGACAGGCGCATCTATGACGACGCCGCTGCCCGCTACAACAAGTACCAAGAGGACCTGGACACCTACACTGCAGAACTTGCAGACTACACCACGAAAATTACTGCCTGGCGGGTTGCTGATCGACGTGCGCTTGCCATTCTTCTCGCCACCATCCCCTCCTCCCTCAAACGCGAGCTCTCACCTACCTCCTCCTCCCACCTGTGGCGACTGCTGGTCGACCTTTTTGATCGGCAGGACGTTGCCACTCTTTACGCCCTTATCCAGGAGTTTGGAACTCTCTCCATGGATTCCACTTCTGGCGCAGCTGCTTTCACTCGCCGTGTCTTAGACCTTTCTCGGCGCCTTGCAGCACTCGATGTGGTGTACCCGGACACCGTCATCTGCTGCCACCTCCTCGAGGGCCTCACACCTGCCTTCGACGCTCACAAGCTTGCTTACATGCAGCTTATCTCCAAGCACCACACCCCTGCCGAAGTTGCTCAGTGGATTATCACCACCGAAGCTGAGATCCTTCGCCACTCTTCCTCCACAGCCGCAGCAGCCCAGTCGCGCAGCAGCCGGGGTGGCCGTGGCGGTGGGCGTGGGGGTGGGCGTGGTGGTGCGCGTGGGGGTGGACGAGGGGGATCAGTAGGTCGCGGTGGTGCTGGCAGCAGTGGTGCGGGTCGTGGTACGGCAGCTGCCTTTCCTCCCTGTCAGTATCTGCCTCGCTACGGTCCCACTCAGGGACAGCGCTGCGGCCAAACTACCCATGCCACTGAGACGTGCTTCAAGGCACTCAGTGATGAGTGGTTTGCCCGTGGCAACACCGGCACCCCTCCTCGCTGGTCCGCCCTCAACCCTCGCCCCACTCCCCTTGAGGTCCGTTCCTCTCCCCTCTATGAACCTCCCTCCTCCACCCACGCTCACCAGGCCCTCGCCCCTCCCCAGCAGCAGCACCAGCAGCAGCAACAGCAGCAGCAGTTGCTTGGGAATCAGCAGCAGGGGTCACAGCAGTATGGGCAGCAGCTTCTCCTCTCTCAGCTCCAGCAGCAGCTCCAGCATCTCCAGCAGCAGCTCGACCTCCAGCCGCAACTGCCCCTCCTCCCTCCTCCTCCGGTTTCCCAGCAACAGCACTTTCCTACCTGGACTGCTGGGAGTGCTGCCTCTGCAGCCCATCTCTCGGGTGCATCCCCGGCGCCGTCTGCAGGTGGCAGTGTGACCGCTTTCCCTTCCTCTGGTTTTGTTGGTTTATTAGGTCAACCTGAATCTGTTGCATCTCCCATGTACCCTTCTTCTGCTAATGAAACTTCGTTCCAGTACTCTGTCTCACCTTCTTCCACCATTGACTTCGTTCTGGACAGTGGAGCCACTGACACTGTCCTTCGCGACGCTGGTACACTGCGCCCTCTCCCCACACCAACCTCCCTCCTCGGCGCTGATAGCAGTTTTTCCATCCCCTGTCACAACACCTCCACCCTTCCCTGTCCTCTCTTTCCCTCAGGTACTGTCACCGGTCTCCACATTCCCTCCCTTCGTACTAACCTCCTCTCCCAAAGGTCCCTCCAACAAGCCATGATCACCACTCTCATCCCAGGTGGTGCTAACCATTGTGACCTATACCAAACCTCCACAGGTCGTTTTCTCGCCCGTATTCCCTATTGTCCTCGCTCCCGTCTGTACACCCTTCGGGTTCCCCGCCCCCTCACCTTCCAAGTTGCCTCCCCCCCCCTCCTTCCCCCCCCCCCCTCCCCTTCCTCCCACTAACCCACCCCTCCCCCCCCGCCCTCCTGACTCTGACTGTTCCTGTCGCTCCCTCTCCCACCCCACCATCCTCCTCCATCACAGGCTAGGCCACCCCAACTTCGCTACTCTGCGCTCCTCTGTCTCCTCCGGTCTCCTCCACGGTCTCCCCTCCTCCCTCCCTCCCCTCCCCAAATCCCCTGCACCCCCCTGCACCGTCTGCGTTCAGAGCAAGCTCAAGCAGCAGCCGCACCGGAGCTCCCCCTCCGCTGCTGCGCAGCCACTTGATCTTGTTCACATGGACCTATGGGGCCCTAATCCCTCTCCCACTCGCCAGGGCCATCGCTACCTTCTCGTGCTTGTTGATGATCACAGTCGGTACTCATCCGTCTCTCTCCTTCGAACGAAGGCGGATGCCCCGGCAGTGATCATCGCCTGGCTCGAGCGGGCAAACACCCATTTTGGACGCCCTGTTCGCCGCCTTCACTCTGATGGAGGTGGTGAGTTTCTTAACAACCAAGTCTCCTCCTATTGTCAGTCTCATGGCGTCCTTCAGACTTACACCCTCCCTCACTCCCCACAACAGAACGGCGTGGCTGAGAGTCGTGTTCGAGAGATCACCAAAACAGCCCGGTGTCTGCTTGTTCACGCCTCCTGCCCCCCTTCTCTTTGGGGCTACGCCCTCCTTCATGCCGCCCTCCTTACTAACCTTTACCCTCACCCACTTGTCCCCTCCATCACCCCCACTGAGCTGTGGACGAAGGACAATCCTGATGCCTCCTCACTTCGTGTCTGGGGCTCTAAGGCACATGTCCTCATTCACCCCTCTGACCGCTCCCGTTCCATGGGAAAGCTTGCCCCTCGTACCCTTCCTTGCATCTTCCTTGGTCATAATCCCTCCTCCCCCGACTACCTCTTCCTCCACCCCCCATCCGGTCGTCTAATCTGCAGCAGGGATGTGGTCTTTGACGAGTCCACTCCCTACTACTCCTCTCCCACATCTACTGACCCACTCCCCCCTCTCACCCGTCCCCTTGTCTGGTCTGACACCACCCCTCCCCCACTACTCCCTCCTCCCCCCATCCTCCCACCCCCCCCTTCTCCGCCGTCCCAGTCCCATGATGCCCCTCCCTCTTCCGGTGACATCTTTGACCCGGAACCTCTGTCTTCCCCTGTCTCCCCCGCTCACTCCTCTCCTAGTACCCCTCCCCCCCCCCCTTCCTCTCCCTCGCCACTAACCACTCCTCCGCCTTCCCGCACCATACTCACCCGGTATCCCCACACCAGGTCACGTGACGGTATCCTTGGTGCACCGCCTCCCGTTACCCTCTCTACCTCTACCCTCCCCCCTCTCTCCCCCCTCCTTCGTCACTTCTTCCAGGCTGTCCTGCATCAAGCCCCTCATGCAACAGCCCCCTCAGCCACCTCCTCTCCAACACCGGCTCCAGCAGCAGCAGCAGCGCCAGCAGCCGCAGCAGCAGCAGGACCAGCAGCGGCAGCAGCAGCGGGAGCGGCATCGGCACCAGTAACAGGACCAGCAGCGGCACCAGCAGCGGCACCAGCAGCAGTACCAGCAGCGGCACCAGCAGCAGTACCAGCACCGGCACCGGCAACGCCTCCACCAGCAGCACCAGCAGCGGCACCAGCAGTCATCCGCGCCTTCCACACCTCCCTCTCTGAGGACTCCCATGAGGAGTTCCTTGACCTCCACCTTTATGACTCCTTGCTTCTACCCATCACGTTCGATCTCTCCGGCACACCTGTCTTCGCCTTCTCCTCTGCTCCCTCTATTTTCGTTCCTACCACGTACGAGGAGGCAATGGCGTGCCCTGACGCTCCGCTATGGCTCGCCGCCATCATCAAGGAGCTGGAGGCCTTTATCGGCAACTCCTCTTTTGTCGATGTGCCTCGCCCTCCCGCCCCTACGAACGTGGTGAAAGGAAAGTGGGTGTTTCGCGTCAAGCAGCTGCCAGGGGAGCCGCCCGTCTATAAGGCTCGTTACTGCGCCAAGGGGTTCACGCAGCGGTATGGTTTTGACTTCTTCGATACCTTCTCCCCTACTGCCAAGCCTGCTACTGTTCGCGCCGTGCTCGACCTCGCCGCTCGCCTCAATATGGAGATCCACTCGATGGACGTTTCTAACGCCTTCCTACAAGGCGTCCTCCGCGAGCTTATCTACATGGAGCGTCCAGCCGGCTTTCACCTTCCCTTCCCAGCAGACTCTGTCTGGCAGTTGCGTCGACCTGTGTATGGGCTCCGACAAGCCCCTAGAGAGTGGCATGCTAAGCTTGCCGCCACCCTTGGTGAACTTGGGTTTCGCACCTCCCGCTCCGACGCCAGCCTCTTCCTCCGCACCTCCCCCTCCCCCTTCTACATCCTTGTATATGTCGATGACATGATTCTACTCACCGCCGACCTTGCTGAGTTGGAACGTGTTAAGGCTGAGTTGGGTAGCCGACTCAAGTGCAAGGACTTGGGAGAGCTGCAGCATTACCTGGGCATGACCATCACCCGCGACCGCTCCGCCCGCACCATCTCTCTCTCCCAGGGTCATTACTTGCAGCAGGTCTTGGAGCGGTTTGACATGGTCCGCGGTGGCGCCCAACCTACTCCTCTTTCTGTCGGGCACCACCTCTCTCAACCCACCTCCCCCTCAGCCTCCTCCCATCCTTATCCCGAGCTCATCGGCTCCCTCATGTACGCCATGGTCTCCACTCGCCCTGACCTTGCCTACCCCATCAGCGTCCTCGCTCGTTTTGTTGGCGCAGGCAAGCATACGGAAGAGCACTGGCAGGCCGCCAAGCGTGTCCTCCGGTACCTTCGTGGCACCAATGACTATGTCCTTACCCTTGGCGGCCCCCTCCCCACCTCTCCTCAGCGGCTACAGTGACTCCTCCTGGGCTGATTCCCGGCCAGATCGTCGCTCCTCCCAGGGCTATGGCTTCTCTCTTGGCAGCGGCCTTATCAGCTGGCGCTCCACCCGCTCCTCGGCTGCAGCCCTCTCCTCCTGCGAGGCGGAATTGTATGCCGCCACCATGGCTGCGCAAGAGGCCCGCTGGCTCACCTTCCTTCTTGAGGAACTTGGTGCCCCCCAGCGCTGTCCCACAATTTGGTGTGACAATGCTAGTACCATTCACCTCACCAAAGATGCTGTGTTTCACGGGCGCTCCAAGCACATTGAGCTCCGTCATTTCTTCATTAGCGATCTTGTTCAGGCGGGGCACCTTCGCCTCGACAAGGTTGACTCGGCGGCCAACCTTGCCGACATCTTCACAAAAGCTCTTCCTCACGCCGCTCACTCTTTCCTACTTCGTCTTCTTGGCCTCACTCCTCCTAAGTCTCCTCCCGCCTCTTGATTCTAGCCTTCTAGCCTTATGCATGTTGGGGGGTTGTGTTGTAATTTCATATTTTATACAACATACATAGGCTAGAAGTGTAGCACATTTTATCAATTGGGGGGTTGCTTAGTGTACCCTCCAACCACATTTTGTGGTTGGTTGGGATTGGTCCTTAGCTCAACCAATCCCAACCAACACACATTTGTGGTTGCTTGGGTCAAAAGCAAGCTCACCCATTGGCCAACTTATTGGCCAATAGAGTAAGCTTCCCTCTCATCTCTCTCTTGCTCATTGTTTGTACTAAAGAGCCTCTTGGCTCATTATTCAATGCATCAATTCTGTCACTTGCAACAGCAGGGTCCTCGCAGCAGAGTCCCAGCAGCACGTCGTCTGGAAGGGCGCTCTCTGACCCAACGCGGAGCCACTCCACTGGCTGCTCTGCGAAATCGCCAATGCAGGGAGCAGAGGCAGGCAGAGCAGCGAGCTGGGGCCGCATTGGCGCTGGCAGCGCTGCGTGTGGCTGGGTGGGCAGAGGAGCAGATAGAGCAGAGCGCTGGATGAAGGCGGGGTCGTCGCTGTTGCACCCCAGCAGCACGTCATCTGGAAGGGCACTCTCCGACCCAACGCGCGGCCACAACATCCGCTGCGCCCTGCTCCTCGCTCCTCCTTGCTGCTGCTGCCGATGCTCCTCCTGTAGCAGCGCCTCCAGCAGGGCTTCGTCAGCTGCCTGCTGCATGAGGCTGCTCGCCCCCTGCTGCTGGAACTGCTCTGCCACTGGCTGATGCCCGTGCTCCGTGCCACACACCACCCCGCCTCGCAAAACTCCGCCTTGCACGAATCCCCTTGGCACGAACCAGCTCTCGCGTCCACCGAGCAGCGCTGGCTGTGCCCCCAGCGTGGGCGAGTCGCCCCTTGGACGCTTTAGCGCACGACGCCGAGCGGCAAAATTGGAGGCAGCAGCAACGGGGGAAGCTTCATGGGATACTGGAAAATCGGCAATAGAAGCAGCCGCAGTAGCACAGACGCTGGCGGCTTGGGAATGAGGAGGAGAGCTGGTCACAGAAGAGAGGTTGAGTGAGGCTGGTTGGCGGTAGCAGCGTGCGTTGGGGGCAAAGAAGACGGCCGTGCACTCCTCATACGACAGCCCTCCGAACGCCAGGGCAGCTGAACCCGCGCCCTCCTGCTGCTGCTGCTGGAAATCTTGACAGAAAAACGGCAGACTGTTTCCGTCCAGTGAAACGTCCTGGAGGAACGCGGCGCCTCCCAGGTGATTTCTCAGGAAGCTCTCGCGAAATTGCTGAGTGAACTTCCTGCCATCAACACGCGGCCACAGAGCAGAAGCGTTAGACAAGGCTGAGGTGTGTTCGAAACGCTCACGCGTATCAAGAAACCCGAGTTCAAGAATTTATGCACGCGGCATGCGGGGTTACCTTCGGAGGAAGATGTAACGGTTACAGCATGACTTGTTGCTCCTCTTGAGCTGACCGCTCCTCCCCAGCTCGCCCCACTGCTTCGTGCCGCACTGCAGCGCGTGGCGCAGCAGCACCGTGTCCTCCTGCCGTGAGAGTGAGGGAGGGAATGACAGCGTTGCCATCATGAGCTGTGAGAGTAAAGACCGCGGTTCAAGGCACACAGAGCGTGTCCTACGCACTGGTATTCTAATCGCTCTGACATCGACAAGGAAAACGGAGGGCTTGAGAGATTCTCCTCTGAACGCTCTTTTCGCGACCCACCTCTCGCGACCATGGCTGCATTCCAAGCGGCGACGAGGGTTGCGAAACCGGCGGTGAGTCAATGTTTTCAGATGAATGCGGCATGGCGACCAAGCGGTTCTTGAAAGCGGTACCACCACGTGTTCAAAATGGTTCAGCTGGCACGAGAGTCCAGGATAATATAGCAAGAAATTAACTCGAGATTTTTTAACCGTCTCTTGAAAGGAAGGTGAGCCCAATAATCTTGCATATGTCCATCTTGGTTCAAAACCTGGCCCCACGGACAGAAAGATCTTTGCGGTTCAGTACGGTCGAGCAGCAACCGCATTCACGAGGCCTGATTGTGAGCTGGGGTTGCACTTGGCCGCCTTTGATTCTGCCGCTTACCAACAGAGCCGAGTCTTGACCGCCACAGCAGAGAGATGCCCCTCATTGCACTTCCAGGCGCAACCAGCGAGGCTTTCGAGTCGCGCGGCATCCGAAGGTGTGCGACGGGGGGCAGCAGTGGAAGAGGTGCGAGCGAGGAGGACGCTAAGTGGGCCAAGTGGCACCGACAACGAGGGGAGCGGAATGAAAGGAATCATTGCTGGTGGCTTGTGGTTGTAACCTCTGCCAGGCCGGCACTCCCGCATTAAAAACCCTCCACTAGGAGGAGAGAAACCGAGTCAACCGTACGGTGTACAGTATTAGTAGACTGTCATCTGTATTGAACTGGGTGTGTCACGTAACATCATCAGACGACGATTTTTGAGAAGGAGCCACCGTCATGTGACACAAGGCACGTGATGACCCGTGACTAGATACCGTCTGTGGTGCGTTAGCGGTTTGGTAGCGGGAGGGAGGGAGGGACTAGGCAAGTGCTGCTGAGGTCAGCGGACCATACACTGGCACTGGCAGCAGCCAACTGGAGCAGTCTGCCTGCCTGCCTTTTCCTGAACATAAAGGTCGGCTTCCTGCCAAACCCTTGGGCGTACTCGCTTTGGGCGGATGCGCTACAATGTGTGATTTCAGTTCCGGTATGTACTGTGTCTTGAAGTGCTATAACCGACAGTTTGTGTCAGCGCTACCGTATACTTACCGGTAAGAGTTTGGTCCTGTTACTTTCTGTGAAATTCTCCATTCACCTACAATACTTCCCAGCGTCTTCCCCAAAAAATACTGCACACAAGCATACCAGTCAACACCGTATGAGAACAGATTCACGAAAGAACAGATAACTCTATGGAAGCCAAAAAAGTTGATTCCCAGTGGTCCACAATACGGCACCATGACCCTTCGCGATCACAACAATCTCAACATTCACAAAAAGTTGACTAACCACATTTGTACGAGCCCACCACAGATAATGGTCAGGTGAATAAGCTCCTTTCCCTGCATCCAGTCCAGGTTCAGGGAAATGGGATACACAGTCATAAGAGATGCTTACGTGCCCAACAACCCACTATGCTTCTTGGCCTTCCCATCCCAACACAAACCCAGCAATCCCAGCCTGCTCCATGCATCCACTCTGTAACACTCATCTCTGTCCCAAATTACGCATCTCACCCCACGCCACCCACCCTCACCTCGTCACTTAACATCTGACTCCAACGCACCTCCTTCCCAATGCTCCCAGCTCCCTCGGCTTCCTCACTGCGCTCAGCTCCCCCTCCTTCCCCTCACTGCTCCCAGCTCCCCTTTCTTCCCCGATGCTCTCAGATCCTCCCATCTATCCCCCATTGCTCTCAGCTATCCCTACCTTCCAGTGCTACTCGCCCTTCTTTCCCGCGCATCTCCACTGCAGCCGACTCTTTTTTCTGTCCACCCCTTCCAGCACCCGCAGCAGCTGCGTCTTGTGACCAACTCCGCCATGCTGCTGTGCTCACGACCAGAAAGATGTCGGAAGGACAGGGGGACAACGGGAATGGGGGAAGACATGAAGGGGGATGCAGAGGAGGGAAAAAGGAGGGGGGACGAAGGAGTTAGAAAGGAGGGATGAAGCGAGGTGGAGGAGCAAAGCAGGGGGGCTGTGGAAAAGGGAAGATTGGAAGGGGATGTTCGCCTGTAAACTCGTTGAGCGTGCTTTGGGGTGGCAGTGAACTTCAGCGAGGCAGCTGCTGCAGCCATTGTACCACCATTGTACCAAGCTCCGTCTCTCCACCAGTGAGCTTCAAAGCCATGATAACCCAACGATACAATAAGCGGAAAATCATGCCAAGGTTCGAACGCGGGGTACTGATCGCCCAAGGGCATACCTCGCGATATGCACCGCAATGCTCTCATCGACTGTGAGCGACCATACAGACATAGTTGTTCAGAATGTACAGACGGCTCACGTCACGCCTTGTCGGAATGAACACGAGATTCTCACGTCGTCAGGTTGCATGGTCTCCAAAGGGGTCACATGTAAGCTCTGCACCTTCGGGATATTCGGCATTAGTGATTCTGGATATGTCGGATTCTGGATATGACGGATTCTGGATATGACAGATTCTTGGCCCTGTTTAACAGGCACCACGATGGTCACGGGCACGGAAAGGAAATGGAAGTGATAGGGCATCTTTTGAATTTTTGAAAGCCTGATGTGATGTCACCCACGCAGAAACGAGCAGCTTCGTTAGGTCTGGCAGAAAGATTTTGACTTGGAAAATAAGAACCTTCAGGCACAGCTCCTCCAGAGAAAGAGGGTGTACATTCAAAGCAAGTAGCACAAGCTTAGGCTACATAGAATTGGGCAGGACATGTAGCCCATAAAAACAAACAAACGACAAATTTGATCGAGTCTGTCGGTTGGGATCAAATTATGTTATGGTTTTCTTGTTGGTGCATGTACTATCTGTAAACCGTATCGTTTGTTTCCCGTGCGCCAGTACGTAAACCCTTTCACAGTACTTTCATTCCCTGCCCAAAGCGATGCCCCAAGGGCAGGCAGGCGGCAGGACATTGTCAGAACTTAGGCTTAGAAGCGATGCATTAGTAATGAGCTTAAAGCTCTTTAAGTACATCCAAGAAGGGTAGGGAATGGATGGGAAGGGAATCGGGGGCTAATCCCAAGGCAATCTCCAATTGGTGGGTTGGAGATTGCTTGGAGATTACATTTGGGTTTGGTTGGGATGTAGGTGTACACTCAACCAAATACAAAGTGCAAACTACACTACTCTAGGGTATAGAAAATACAAAGTACAAAGTGTGAGATTGAAGGCTAACACTAACACATATGACATGGGAGGCAGGCCCAGGAAGGCAGAGGGGAGAGACGGGCGTGTGGGGAGCAAGAGAGCAGCAGGCAGCTCTCTTTGTGTGCCACAGTGATGCATTGGGCTCAACCGGTGCCTGCATGTTAGGGGACTTCGTGTCAGCCAAGGTCCTTTAATGCACCTCCAAATGCACCTGCTCATTCCCCTGGGGAACGAGCCAGCCAGAGCAGGGAGTTGCGAGGGAAGAGGCAGTGACAGTGTGAGCTCATGCCACCAGCGCAGTCGCCATACTCCCTGGTGCATGTCGTCTGACAGGACACTCTCGACCCAACAGGCAGACACAATGCCGGGTGCCCTCGGCACCTCTTCCCCTGCTGTGCACAGCCACTATCCAGCGACCGTGGGCGTGGGCGCTGCATTTAGTGGCCTCGGATCCGCGGTTCCATGGCAAGGCCAGTGCAGCCCTCCTTAGGTCGCTTGTTTCGCCGGCTGGGAGCAGCAGAGCTGGTGCACAGCGGCTCTGTCCTCACCACGTCAGCAGGGCCAGGGCAGGTCACTCCCCTGACCACCTTTGCACAAGGCAGCAGTGGCATCGGACACAGCAGCACTGGCTCCGGCAAATTATCGCATACCACCCCACCCCACCCCAACCTATTCCTCTCCATTTATAATCTCCTATCCCATCCCACCCCAGGCCACCCACCCTCAACTCGGGTGAGAAACACCCGCTTGCACTAATCAGACGACAGCCCAGCAAACGTAAGAGCGGCCGATTGGAACGGAGTCACGCGAGGAGCGAATCTCATGCCTGCCATGAGGTGACCTTTGAGTCGACTCAAAGGCCACCTCGATTGATACGGAGTCACGCGAGAAGCGAATCGCATGCTTGCTATAAGGTCATTGCCTTGCAAGACACGGCAGCTCATCCGTCAACCCGAATCTCCTCGCAGGAAGGCTTTGCCCCAAAGCCTGGCAAGTTCCGAATGGAGCGTAAGATTGAAGAGCAAGAACGGAGCGGAAGCAGAACTCAAGGGCGATGATAAGGGTGGTGGTACGAACCCTAGTGTTGTTGCTATAACGCCCCGCTAGACCCCCGAGCCAACACGGGGGTTGTTCAGAGGCGCAGCGGTGACCTGTTGAACCCTTGTGTAGGGTCGCAGGCGCTACATCCCCGGTGGCTCCTATCCTTCCTATGACACACGGCACACTCACCCGACCGCGGCGATGAACAGACTCGATGCGAACCCCGACTCGACTCCCACCACGATTGGCAATGATGGCCGGGTCCGACTCGGAATGAACGTCAACTTTCACGAGAGTCCGTCCGCACCCATGCGGAGCGGCGGGGTGCACACCTTCGCCTCGAGAGTTAATTCATCCGACTCGGTGTAAGCTGGGGTGAACGGCCCGCGTCCTGATTGACACATCGGAGCTGACGCGATCCTGCTGCCAGTACTCGGTCACGCGCGGTTATGACCAACGGGATGCAATGGCTGTCATGATTGCGGCCCTTCGCAGCGTGCTGAGTCATGGATCCAGATAAGGACAAAACAAGACTCGACGTTTAAACGCCGGAAGGGTTGCGTAGACTGTTACGGTAGCAATTCTCTATAACGTCCCTCACGTATACTGAATCTGAAGAGTATTTCAGTAGTAACTCGCCGATAAAACAATTAACATAACAATAGTGAAATGAAATATTTCGATCTGTAATAGATGGACATTGTTTAACCATCATACGCCAATAATGCGACATAATGGAAGAATCGTAGCCGAATTTGAACAAATCATTTCATTCCAATTGACAATATGCAGTATGATTTGTTGTGTGGCTATGAGAGTTGCAAAGAAATGACACGCTGAAGATTATCAGTCATCACTAACATTTGGATAACAAAATATGAATGACACATATTTCCATGATCTATAAACAATCAAACCACTAGCAACAGATTGGAACTTATATAACTTAGAAACCAACTATCACTAGAGGAGATGTTTTGCTGACTTGGGGTTAGGTGAACAGTCCCATCCTTGGCAAGGGTTTCGTTCTCCCCCCCCCCCAACCAACTGCTCCTCTCAACCAAAATGCTCTCACGACCGTTCCAACTTTTTTGAAGCCGTTCAAGAACTCCAACCACCTTCTCAGGTACTACCGTACTTTACCTTGTTAGTGCCTAAACCGCGCGCGCTTAGAGAGCTTGCCATTGACTCTCGTGCATTAGGCAATATAGCATAGAGCACTCGCCCTAGGGCGCTCATGCCTTAGCGCTTATGACGCCTACGCGCCAAGCGCGTTGGCCTTGGCGCTCGCGCCTAAGGCGTCATTGGCGTGTAAGGCAAGGGCGCCGTTGGCCGCCGGCGCCGTTTGCGGTGGCGCCTTTGGGCGCTGGCGCTGGCGCCTTTTGGCGCTGGTGCTCACGCCTTTGGGCGCTGGCGCTGGCGGCTCACGCCTTTTGACGCTGGCGCTGGCGCCTTTTCGCGCGAGCGCCTAAGGCTCTGGCGCCTAACGCGCTGGCCCCTAACGCGTTGGCACCTAGCGCGCTGGCGCCTAGCTCGCTGGCGCCTAACACGCTGTTGCCTAGCGCACTAGGCTGTTTTTTCTTCTCGTGCAGGCTGTGGAAATTGTGCAGGGTGTGTAAGGTGTTTTCTCTGCTATTGCTTCTTGTACAGCGTAGTGGAATTGCATTGTCTGTTTCGCGTTCTTCTGCAAAAGTATGTGAGTTGCATTCTCTGTTTCGCCTTTTTTCTGCAAAGTGTGTGTTGTACTTTCTGTTTTTGTTTCATCTTTTTTTTTTTCTTTCTTTCTTGTGCAGGGTGTGAATTGTGTTTTTTGTTTTTTCTTTCTTGTGCAGGGCGTATGAGAAGCGTTCTTGCTGAAGGAAAGGGAGGGTTTTTTTTGGGAGAGAAAAGGAAAGGAAAAGAGGGGAGGATAAGGATGGTAGTTTGCAAGAAGGGGGCAGAGGAGATGATAGAGGAGGGATGGAGGAAGTAGGGAGCAGGGACATGTATAGCAATTAATGACACATAGCTGAACTCAATTGCTTCTTGCTATGTTTGCGTGTTCATTATCTGTTTCCTTCTGTGTGTGATGTGATGTGAATGTCTTTGTGTTTGTGTGTTACGTGTGTGTGCACCGTATATGTGTAATCTTGTGTGTGTGAACCACATTTTTTTTGTCAGTTGATGTACTGTCTGTTTCGAGGTGTGGTGCTAAGTGACTCGTGCATGCAGCTGAGGTTGTGATCGTCGGTGGGGCAGCTTTGCTCGCCTCTTCCGTACCGGATCAATTTTTGCTGCAACACCGATTCATTTAACATTCACTTCGAGGCATTCATGTCTCTGTATTTTCATTGTTTGTTTGCATGTGGACATTCGTGTTCGTTTCAGGACGTGGTGTTGAATTGCTTTATGTATGCAATTGTGGTTGTGATTGTCGGTGGGGTAGCTTTGCTTGCCCCTTCCGTACCAGATCAATCGCTGTTGCACCGTAGATGCATTTTAACATTCACCATGAAGCATGCACGATTGTTATGTTGGTTTTGTGCATGTGGTTTTGTGTGTGTTTGAGGGTGTGAAGTAGAGTGCAATACTTTGCGTTTGTGAGTGCACGTTTGATCATCGATGCGTAAATCATTGTCCAATTATTCCATTCGCCGTACTTATCGACGATTATGGAATGATTGGACACATTTGTTTCCATTTTTCGGGTAACTTGCGCGAACAGTGATTTCATCCATACTTTTGGAGAAAAATCACTGTTCACGTCAGTCAACCGAAAAGTGAAAACGAATGTATAAGGTTGCTACGCAACCCAAAAATCAAGATGCAGAGCGAGTGAGAGCCGACGCGGTGAAACGCGGAGCTGAGGAGCATTGATGCCATGGTAGAATTCAAGAGTGACTTTAAATCGGACGGTGAGCGCCTCGAGCGGAAGGTTTTGTGAGCGGATCGAGCAGCCAGCCCTCCTCGCCTACCCTACCACAACCAATTTCTCCACTGAACTGTGAAGGGAGGCTAAAATCGGGGATGTGAAGCGAGAAATAGGAATCGTTACACTCGAAAATATACAGAATACACAATCCTACGAATTGTCAGTTGAGCTCCACAATTCTGTGTGACGAAGAGAGCAGCATGGCTTCTATTAAGCTCGGTGAAATCTCAGGATCGTGGTCAGAAAGACCCCAAAGACTCTAGAAAAGTATATCTTGGGATGGAGACATCCCACTATCAAGCATGGCAGTACCTGGGAAATTAAACGATTCATGCGTTTCCTTGATGTGGTCAACCATGGCCCCATTCCAGTTATTTCCAAACTTCAACTCGGTTGTTCCTCCAAGCGTGTGAAAATTATCCAAGGCGTGGACATCCGAGTTGAGCCCATGGCCAACTGTGGCATGCAAGGCAGCCCCACCACCTTCCAGAGCATTGGCTATGTCAGGCCGACGTAACGCCAGGTTCTTAAGAGCTGGTAAAGCACCGGCGGCCAAGGGCTCCTGCAGCAAGGCATGGCGGGGCTGCATGGGAGCTTGCGTGTGCAAGCCCCTTGGGTTCGAGGGCGTGGACAGTGCACCGGTGAAGCCGGGGGCCCCTGGTTGGTGAGAAAGGGCTGACCGTAGGGGCGCCTGGAACAGTGGCTGTGACTGAGGCTGTGACTGTGGCTGTGACAGTGGCTATGACAGTGGTTGTGGCTGTGGCAGGGGTTGTGGCAGCGGTTGTAGGTGCCCATGACCCCGGTGCACTTGAGTACCTCCCTCCCTGCTGTTTCGCTGCTCCAACGCCCACTCTTCCAGCGCTACCCCACCACCAGCTGTGCCTGGCAGCACCCGTTCCTGGGGCCCACCCGCCGAGGGCACATGGCAGGGCTGCCACCGAGGTAACTGGGGGACAGTAGGGGCGTGTCCAGGCAGCAACTGGGGATCCAGGGGCGTGTCGAAAAAAAGAGCAACATTATCATGCGCCACGCTGCACGTGTCCAACTCTGGTTGGGTGCAACTACTCACAACGAGCGTCCCTCCAGTGCTGCTGCCCATCCGCCCAGGGACGGAACCAGCCAGCGCAGCGGTGGGCAGCGGCACTGGCATTGGTGCATGCGGTGCGGTGAAGCCAGCATCGAGGCTGCTGACCCCCAGCAGCACATCATCTGGAAGGGCGCTCTCCCACTCCATACGTGGCCACAGGGCTGATTGCGCTCGCCTCCTCCCTCCTCCTCCGTGCATCTGCTGATGCTCCTCCAGAAGCAGAGCATCCACAAGGGCTCCCTCCTCGTCCTGCACGCGGCTGCTCGCCCCCTGCTGCTGGAACTGCTCTGCCACAGACTGAGCCTGCCAATTCCTTCTGCGCACCACCCCGCTCTCACCTCCACCTCCACCCAGCCCCGCTTGGTCTGCCCCAAGCCCAGGGCAATCCTCTCTTGATCGCTTCACTGGGAGGCTCAGAACAGTGGCATTGGAGGTAGCAGCAATGGGGAAGGAGGCATCACATGGGAACGGAAAATCAGAGGCAGTGGAAGAAGCGGAGAAGGTGGCGGCTTGGGAAGCAGGGGTGGGGCTGACTGCAGATGAGGGGTCCGCTGGAGCTGCTGGGTGGCAGCAGGTGGCATTGGGTGAGAGGAAGACGATGCTGCACTCGTCAAACGACAGCCCACCGAATGCCAGAGCAGTTGAACCAATGTCATCCGAATGCTGCTGCTGCTTGCCATCCTGACAGGGCAACAGCTGATCGAGGCCCTTTACGGGAACGTTTCCGGGGAATTCAGCATCTTCCAGGTGCTTTCTCAGAAGATTCTGCTGAAAGTGCTGAGTGAACTTCCTGCCGTCAAGACACGGCCACAGGGGAGAAGCTCAGAAAAAGGCGCAGGCGTGTTTGAAAGGCTCAGGCGAGGGGTGCGTGTTGATGAGTTCAGTGGGTTTCGAAAATGATTGTGACAAGCAGGCTTACCTTCTAAGAAAGATGTAACAGTTACAGTACGACTTGTTGCTCCTCTTGAGCTGACCCCTCCTCTTCAGCTCTCTCCACCGCTTCGTCCCAAAATGCAGCGCATGGTGCAGTAGAACCGCGTCCTCCTGCACGGATCAACACGGATCTCGTGACCAATGATTGACCTATCTTTCGGCACGTCTCAGAAGGAACACGGTGAAGGAGCGTGACTCAAGGCCCACTGACCCGGCTGAAGGGATTCTGAAGAGTGTCTTGGGCCACAGTGAGCGCCGTGTCTTGACGCACAAATGTATTCACACCAACATGGCTAGCAAGGCTTTCAAGAATCAATATTTTGATTCACTCTCCTTTTTCAAGGTGGAAATCGGGTGGATCTTCAGAGCGTCTCCAGTGCAGAACTCACGCCTACCTCTCTGAATTCACACCCACCTCTCTGGATCCACCTCTCAGCACTCACCTCTGGGGACCAGGGCTGTATGGCGAGCGACGAGGATTGGTGTAACGCCTGTGGGGCTTACACGTAAGGGTATGAGAGCATCCGCTGCGCCTCAAATACAACCCTCGTTTTGACCAAGTGGGTAGCGAGGTGTTACATTTGGTATTAGAGCCTGGGGTTCAATTCCCGGCTGGGTCACATATGATTGTGCCAGTCGTGAACCCAGTGAACGATCCGCCGCTGGCCTGGCCCACCAGCGAAGTCACTGTAGAGCGAGATTCAAGTCCTTGCGAGGGCCGACTCCTTGCCCAACGAGGACGTTGGCTCCAGGGGGGGACGAGTGTAACGCCAGTGGGGCTTACACGTAAGGGTATGAGAGCATCCGCTGCGCCTCAAATACAACCCTCGTTTTGACCCAGTGGGTAGCGAGGTGTTACAATTGGGATGAAGGCGAAGTAGTCGCTTCAGAGGAATGCAACATGGGAGCGAGGCTGGCGTTTAAAAATCAGTACTTCTTGGCAGCTGATGTTGCTACCCTAACAGATCATGGTAGTTCTAGTGGAAGCTGATGTCCGTCATGAATGATCACAGTTCTAGCCACCCTACACTTCTGCAGATTTTGACGTGACAGCGGGGAACACAGGTGCATGCACCGCTCAAGAACTTGGCTCGTCCTCCGGCCGACAGGGTTTCACCTCTGTGGCATCAGGGGAAGTGCCATGGAATGCCGCGCAGTGGGAGACCCGCCCTGCTGGAGGCCCCGCCAGGCCAAGCCCCGCCTGCGCAGGTGCATGGGAGGCTGGAAGTCCAGTGGCAGGCATTCTGAGCTGTACAAACGATGCATGAGACTGTGGGACTACTCCAATTGGGGCTGACGTGTGGAGAGGGCATGGAACAAACGCTATCATTGCTTCATTGCTACTAATATCCCGTGGGGGATCCCCGTGCCAGGAATGCTCCAATGAGGAATCTTATAAATCAAATGTATTCGGATCTCACGAATTTGGCGCGCCATGCGAGTACACATGTATCAGGAGGCACGTGAAGCCGGACCTTTTCGAGCCATGGAAACTTCTTGCGTTTCAAGATGCCTATTCGCGCCGTGTAAGCGGCTCCATCCTCTGAAGCTTCCACATCCAAACAAGGAATGCACATCTGTGCGTGCGGCCAACGCGTCCGTACATCTGCTGAGGAGTGCCAGGCGCAGAGCAATGCACTCTACACCCTGTTTCTCGATGTTTGAACAATTGGGAGCCCCGGCTACAGTGCGCACGTGTGCTTGGATTCAGCGGGCTGGTGCTTGCAACCGAAATGCACTTCAGGAGAACGGTAGACAACGGTTTATGAAAACAAACGTGCCTTTGAGTTCGGTTTCGTGCGGCAAAAGTGCTTATACGATATGTTCTGGGACCAATTTGGACGCATTGATGTCAGTACAATCGGCTTGTCAATATGGCGAATGCCATTGTGGCGCGAAACAGGGTGTATTCAGTGGGTTGTATACCCTCCCTAGGGTGTACAGACGGAAATGCCCTGGAGCACGCAGGTGGTGGTGAGCAAGGGAGCCTAGTCGTTGAAAATATCTTTCTGTGAAACACGCGTGGGTGTACACACGTGTGTGAGTCAGAACACCGTGTACCTCCATGTGGCCCTCAACCCAGTCACAACACCTCCCATACTAACCCCGATCAGCGCGTCCCATCCCATACCATCCCGACCCACCGTGTTCCAACCCCCTTCCACCCCATCCTCCCACTCCTTTTTATCCCATTATTCCATCCCACCGCACACCACCCACACTCATCTCGTCAACTGCATCTGGTACCAATGTGTCTCCTTCCCGCTGCTCTCAGCTCACCTCCCCCACTCTCCCTGGCATGCTGCCAGGCTCCGACCTGAGGGGATGGCGGAGAAGGAGAGAGATGGGCGAGGTGAAGGAGAGAGATGGGCGAGGTGAAGGAGAGAGATGGGCGAGGTGAAGGAGAGAGATGGGCGAGGTGAAGGAGAGAGATGGGCGAGGTGAAGGAGGAGGCGCCAAAGTGCTGTTAGATCAGAAGTGCCATTGTGCCATTCAATGTGCAAAGCTCAAAACGACCCTTCTGCGGCCAGTGTCGTCATGTCGTCTCCTGATTCGACACATGCGACCCGGCGGATCTGAGGCTGACGCTGCTTCGGGCAATGACCGTCACGAACCGCGGAGGAGGGTCCGACGTACTTTCGCGAACTGTCGGGGTGCACCAAGAATATAAAAGAGAACCCAAACCTAACTAGACCCCAACCCCGTATTTTAAGTGCGAGTTTCTTTCTAAAGGCACCTGCCAGCTGTCTAGTCCCGCAATCTCTGGGTGTCCATCGCATTAAGTCAAAGTCCATAAAAGGTACATACGAAAAAAAAGAGTAGGGGGTGTGCAATTATCGCGAACTAGGTGTATTGTAAGGAAATTTCTCGATATTCCTTAGCGCGCCCTGCAACATCGCGTATAGCAGCAGCCGTTGTTCGTCCGTTACTACTAACGGGGCTTCGCCGACTTCGCGCGCACTGTTTTCCCAAACCTTGCACTGCTGGACCGGCCGTGTCGGCCTATGCTTCGGGACTAGCCCGAGCCTCACTTCCAGCGTAGCACTAGCTAGCTCGCACGCACCGCGTTACCGTTTGTATGTTTCGCGTATAAATGTTCGCTCATGCCTTCCCTCACATTTTATACTCGTTTGACACCTTAGTGCAACTCTCACTACTTCGATTCATTGCACCCGTAACACTTGGTATTCATAGCCTCTTTCTTTTGGACCGCGCATCTCCGCACCCCAGGAAATCAACTTTTGATTTTTCACTCGAAGAGACTCACGCACCTTATGTCAGATTTATATGACATAGCTGCTGTAGGCTATAGTGGGGTAGCACATATGGGGTACAGCTTTCAAGGGTTTGTACTTGTACCCAACTTTCCCTTAGTCATTTTCATTCTCGTTTCAGTTTTCTCATGGTATCGAGCAGGTTCCCTCGTGGGAACTGTTCCTAGGGCCCACCATTTTTTTCCTGCCCGGAGCGCACTCAGCCCCTGCCCGAGTCGCGCTCCCCTCTCTCTCGGCCCCTAGCGGCCCTGTCGCGCCGCCCTTACGGCCCCGCCGCATCGCGCCGCCCTTGCGGCCCCGTCGCGCCGCGTTCACGCCCCCTCGCGTCGCGCCGCCTTCGCGGCTCCGTCGCGCCGCCTTCGCGGCCTCATCGCGCCGCCCGCGCGGCCCCTTTCGCACCGACCTCGCAGCCCCTTCGCGGCGCCCTCGCGACCCCTTCGCGCCGCCCTCGCAACCACTTTGAGCCGCCCTCGCGGCTCCGTCGCCCCACCCTCGCAGCCCCGGCACCGCTCTCACCGGCCCAGGCGCCGCCCCTACCGGTCCCGTCGCCCTACCCTAGCGACCCCGCGGGCCCAACCTCGCGGCGCCGCGCGCCACCCTTCGTGGCCCCACCGCCGCCCTTAGCGGCCTCGTCGCCGCCCCACCCGGCCCTCCCGACGTCCCTACAACAGCTCTGCCGCCCTTCACGGCCCCGCCGTCACAACCGAGCCGCCGTTGCCACTATGCCTCCGAGCCGTCGTTGCCGCTGTGCTGCCGAGCCGTCGCTGCTGCCGAGCCGCCCGAGCCACCCGAGCCGCCGGAGCCGCCGAGCCGCCGTTGCTGCCGAGCCGTTGAGCCGCCCGAGCCGCCCTGTCCAGTAAGAGCGGCACCTCTACCACTGCGCTGCCCTTAGCCTACTGCTCGCGCTGCTAGTCTACTACTGTCATGGCTCTCCCTCTGAGCGTGCGCACTTTAGCCAGTACAAGAGTGCTAAGACCTTGTATGACACTGTAGTTGCACGCTACTCTTCCCCTGCCACTGCTGCACTTAGCCGCCTCATCCTGCCGTACCTCTTCCCTGACCTCGCAGCTTTCCCCACAGTCGCTGACCTCATTACGCACCTTTGCACTAGTGACATTCACTACCGCGCTGCCCTTCCTGCTGAGTTCTGCGCCAAGAAACCCCCCCCCTATGTACATCACCCTCTACTACATAGTCACCCGCCTCCCTGACACCCTTCGCCCAGTCAGGGAGCACTTCCTCTCTGTTTGCCCCACCACCCTCACCGTTGACCTCCTTGAGGAGCGCCTCCTAGCAGCAGAGAAGAGCATAGTCGCTGTAGGAGCCTCTCGTGGAGGCCCTCGCGCCCCTATCTTTGAGGGGTGCTCCCCCTCTCCTCTCTTGCCCTCTGTTGCCTCTTCTGCTGCGGCCGACCTCGTTGGTCTTGAGTCGGTCGGTCGGGAGATGCCGCCCTGGCAAGGGCAAGGGGGGCAGGGGCGCAGGAGGAGCTAGCGGGGGCGGTGGAGGCGGCGGTGGAGGCGGCAGAGGGGGTGGGGGTGGCGATGGGGGTGGTGGCGGGGGTGGAGGCGTCGGTGGCGGCAGTGGAGGCGGAGGCGGCGGTGGCGGTGGCGGTGGGAGCGGAGGTGGCGGCGGTGGAGGAGGCGGCGGCGGAGGAGGTGGAGCTGGTCGGGGTGGCGCTACGTAGAGGGTCGGCTCCGGTGGTGGTCAGCGCCAGCAGCAGCAGCAGCGCACTCGTGAGATCCCCCCCCCTCAGCAGCTTCGTGAGTGGTACGCTGCACGCCAGCGGGGTGGGGGTACTGGTCCGTGCACCTACGTCCTACGCACCGGCGACCGCGCGAGTGAGCAGTGCGTGGGTGCGCACTCCACCCAGCGCTGCTTTGGCCGCCTGACGGACGCTTGGCGTCACCAGTTCCCTGAGGCCACTGAGATCCCTCGCTGGGGCGAGCTGTCTAGGGCGGGAGTAGCTATCTTTGACCTTGACTTTGATGCTATTCTTGCTGCCATGTATGCTGTGACTATTAGTGATGAGGGTGACTGTTACCGGTGTTTTCCGCCCAACCCGGGCATTGGGACTGCTGCTCTAGGTACTGGTGAGGCTGCTGCTCTAGGTGCTAGCGAGGCTGCTGCTCTACGTGCTAGTGCGTCTGCTTCCTCAGGTGCTGGTGAGTCTGCTCTCTCAGGTACTGCGTCGGCCACGGCCTCCCACACCTTCACCCTTGACTCGGGGGCTTCTCGCTCCTTCTTTCGAGACCGCACCACACTCACGCCGCTTGGTCGGCCAATTGCAGACTCTCTGGCAGGCCCCTCTGGGGGTCCTGTCCTTGCTCACTTCTCCACTGTCCTCCCGTGTCCGGCGGCCCCCTCTGGCACCCTGTCTGGTCTTTACCTCCCCTCGTTCTCTACGAACTTGTTGAGTGGTGCTGACCTACAGGATGCGGGGGTTCACCAGTTCACTCCTGCGAGCCAGCGGGTGACCCACTGCACGGACGCTCGGACGGGCCGACACTTGGCCACGTTTACACGTCGACCGGGGTCGAGCCTGTACACACTGACCACTGAGTCTCCTCCAGTCACTGCGTCTTGTCAGGTAGCTGCGTCGGGTCAGGTTTTTGCTGCAGTGTCCAGGTCTGGTCCTGAGTCTGCCCCCTGCTCGTGTCGCCTCCTGTCTCACCAGACTCTCCTCTGGCACCACCGCCTTGGTCACCCCTCTCTGCTTCTTCTCTGAGGCATGGCCTCCCGTGTCCTTGTCTCTGGTCTTCCCCAGTCCCTCCCTCCCCTTCCTCCGGGGCCTGCCCCTAACTGCCTCCCCTGTGTCGAGGGGCGGCAGCGGGCTGCCCCTCACTCCTCCCAGTTTCCTCCGACAGAGGCCCCGCTGCAGACGCTTCACATGGACGTGTGGGGCCCGGCCCGCGTCCGTGGACATGGTCACGAGCGCTACTTCCTGCTGGTGGTTGACGACTACTCGCGTTACACCACAGTCTTCCCCTTGCGCAGCAAGGGTGATGTCACTTACGTGTTGATCGACTGGATCCGCACAGTTTGTCTCTAGCTCAGGCAGAGCTTCGGCTCGGACTTTCCTGTTCTACGTCTGCACTCTGACAGTGGCGAAGAGTTCTCCTCTGGCATTTTTCGAGCCTACTGTGGTGCACGAGGCATCCGCCAGACCTTCACGCTTCCGGACTCTCCACAGCAAAATGGGATTGCTGAGCGCCGCATTGGCATGGTCATGGACGTCGCCCGTACGTCCATGATGCATGCGGCTGCCCCCCATTTTCTGTGGCCGTTTGCGGTTCGCTACGCGG